TCCCTACCCCCCTCCCCTTTCCCGACGCACATGGATTAAATGGCAGTTGTGAAAACCAAGTCATATATGTGTGTTTTATGCTGTTGTATTTAGAACCGGTTTCATGATCAAAATTCCACGACCCGGCTCAGTTTTCAACGGACTAGGGTCTAAATTCAACATCTTAGGTCTCAGTATTCAACGTTGAAAAATGACCCCCGGGTCAATTTTCAACCCGGGTCAAAATTCAACGTTACACCGGCTAGATTCCTTAGCCTAATGAATTCGAAGCGTAACCGCCATGCAAGCCGATTTACACCTTGCGTCATTTTTCAAAATTTACGACGGACGGTTAGTGCAATAATTTAAATTCGAAAATATTCAGTTGTCCGTCTCAAATGTATATATAAGTAATAAATAACAAATTGAAGTGGGTCGGTACGTGATCAAATCTTCTGAGAAGGCCTTCGGCCTTCACAGGATTTGATCACGTGACCGACCCACTTCAATTCCCATTGAAGTTTATAAACTTGTTATTTATTTCTTAAGTGTTCACTGTTTATTTGTGTATATTTAGTAAATCATGCTCTGTATTAAAATATTACCGTGCCGTATGTTTGAATGCTTTCTTTATTTTTTTTTTCACAATCGAAGATGTAATTATTGATAAAGGCACAGATTTCAGAGCAAAAAGGTCATATTACATGTACTGTGGAGCCAAAATATTATTATATTGACCCCCATTTTTTGATTTGATTTTTAATAATTGAGCTATGTGTGTAGAAACTAAAAATATGCTTGACCAAAAAGTTTAAGATTTTAAATGTCAGTAGCCAACGTCGCTAAAAAGATAATTTAGCATTAGAAATAAACGGATATGAATCAATTCCCTTTATATATTGTGTTTTGTTAGCAAACTGAGTAAAGAATGAGTGCATTTGATGCAAGCAATTGCACTTAATTTCTCTACAAAGATATTGTGAGCAATTAGTCCTCATTAATATTCGTTTCAAAATAAAGACAACGATACCATAAAAACATGAATAATACAAATGTATGACGTTAGAATGAAACGTTAATGTATAATTTGCAAAATTCTCTTTAACATCTTTTTAATCATTGTGTTTTATTTAACACTTTTTAAAAGAGAATGACTGCGTTTCATGTAAGCATCCATTTCTATTGAAGTTTTTTTTAAAAATGTGTTAATGAGCAATCAGCCTTCATAAACAAAGGGGTTAAAACATAAACTAATAACATTTTTATTGCTCGTAAACGTAAGTACTAGAACTAGCAAATCAACGAAACAATTAGAAAAAAATTTAACTTCTCATGTAGTGTACTTTTCGGAAAGTTTAGAATTCTAAAGCTTTAAAAAATCCCAAATATCAGTCATTCATTGACATTATTTGCTCGAGTGCCGAATATAGAAAGATAATGTGATGTTACTGAGAATTCTTCCACTTTTTACGTATGGAATATTTCTGAGACTTGTTCTTAAATTTGGTAATGCAGTGCCTTCATTACTAAACCCTTGACACTCAAGATACTTAAGGTCTACATTAAAGTTTTATAGCATGTGTAGGTTTAAGTGGAAGGAGTACATCCTAGGAATATGTAATCAAAGTCGTTATAAGGACCACTTTTCCAGTTTGTAAAGATGGGTAGACAATACCAAGCATTTTTGGTACCTAACATTATCAAAATATTTTTTTTAGTTATTCTGATACCAAACACTGTGTGCTTTTTTCTATACAAAAAAATAATATCACATCCACTTCAGTTCGAAGTGGGTGTTTTTATCGAAGATAATGTTCATTTTCCATAGATCCACCCCAAAAGTTTTATTAACAATTAGAGTTTTTTCCCCCGAATCCACTTCTGTTAACTCCTTTTAACCCCTTTTCATTCAGAGATTTAATATATGAGGTTGGTGCAAATTTAAACGACAATTTTTTTTTAAAGATCTATTTTATACATTAACTGTTTTTTTCAAACTCATGAACTACTCATCTATTTTATACATATGTATTTTTTGTTATTTATTCGGTGAGCGCATTTTCACCATCCACGCCTAGAACATCAGTTTCAACTTCATCAGATTTTGGCAACACTCCTATACATGTTCCTGTCCTTTCGATGCATATGATTGCTATGCTTGGTACTAGCGTAATTAAGCAGCGCATTATTGGTGGGCAATGTATTGATTTGACCACGTTATTCAAATAAAAATTGGATACAAATAAAAAAAAAAGTTATTAATAGTATGGGTCAAATAATTTCTGTTTCTGGAAAAGATATTAACTCAACAAAACTGAATTTATTTTCGCAAAGATTTCACCTTCTATCACGATTTCAATTATACATTTTGAAATAAAATCATTTACCCTACTCTCTTACGTAAGTAATTTAGTTTGGTCATATCGACTATGTGATAAATGCATAAAATGCGTACAATATGGAGGCCATAACCAATTTTCTATAACAAAGAAAAAACTGGATCACATTAAAATGAAATTGACTGAAATTGTTGTTTGATGAACAATTTAAAATCTAATATAAATATAATGAAAAATTGGTTCTAACTAAATATTCATCATCATATTTTGACAGAAAATATAAACCGCAAAAAGATATCTATCAACTTTTAGTCTAGGGTAAATATAAAAAAAAAATGACTTAATTTTACACTGTTGCAATGATAAAAAGTTAACAAGTATATAATCATTGAATAGAGAAACAAGTTTTTTAATAATTAGAAAATTTATTAACTGGTACATAGTAAATCTTCAATCATGTTTTTCGTCAACACTTCATAAATAATGGCATCAACCTATAAAGAAGTTTATCTGTTAATATAAATTTGTTATCTGTTGTTGATTTGATATAAGCATTGACCTTACAATGATATTGCTTTATTGTAACAATTTGAATTAGGAAAATTGTGTGACTGTATAATCATGTTAATACATGCTTTATTCGATTAAAATGTCAAATAATATTGTTTTTCAGAAAATGATTTTTAACATCAGATTTTTTTACACATCTTAATTAGCAATATTTTTACCTAAAAGTGAATACTTTGTGGCATGATCAAGTTAAATCTCTCTCTCTCTCTCTCTCTCTCTCTCTCTCTCTCTCTCTCTCTCTCTCTCTCTCTCTCTAAATTTACCTGTTTTCATGATCTACACCATTCCAAACATTCGACCTTATTTTTCCTACAGCAGTACCACTCATCATCTGGACCTGCGGACCTGCTCTCTTGTGCTTCCAATTGCACTACACTGTACACTCCCATTGTTGTGAAGACAAGACTCAGAACAAGCACAGCAATAAACCTTAACAGCTTCATCTAATAAATAAACATATATTAAAAGAATTACATGTATTAAACCAGCAATAAAGATAACCATAATATAACTTTCTTACGAGAAATTATTTTTTTTAAATTACAAGCAATGATAAACTATTTGAGAACTCTTTCTGAAAATGCCAAAGACAACAAATAATGGTATGTAAAAATATCAACAACAAAAAAACTTCGTAGAATAAAAGTTAAATTTTTGAATTTCCATACCTTGCTTTTTCTGTTAGCTGTCAACTTTTAGGATATTTATTTTATTTAAACAGTTGAGTTTTTATATACAATTATATAAATGTGGAACGCATTTGATAGAGTGCTTGCGTAACATATGCGAAAAATAATTATGATTCTAACTCGTTTTTGCAATGACTAACTAATATGTGTTAAGTTAAACCTTTTCCCGATAGCAATTTAATCAAAATTGTAAACACATAATTACATTAATATTGGTAAAAAAAAATGAAAAAAAAATACGGACATTATTAATGAAACATCTGTTAAAAAATTGTCATATACGAATGCAATTTGGCGTTGTCAGGGCCTATTTAATGCAACTTCTTGATTTCCTGAGGTTATCTTATGATTCAACAATACTGATCTAAATTAAATTGTACTTGTGGATAATTTTTTTAATAAAAAAAATGAACTGATTTCTGAAGCAGTGTTCCCAACATGTAAAGGTAGTGCTGTTTTGAAGTTTTCTTCAGACTCTTTTTCTGTGTTGAATAATTAACATTTGCAAATGATAATGTGTATGTTAATTATATGTGCTAATTAAAATAAACCATATCAACAGTGTTCGGGAAATTAAAAACACATAAGGAATAAACAGAGAACTTATGTACATCAGTAAAGTCTACTTTCTCGCCCAAACCTCATCAAATTGGATTAAAGATGTAGGTCTACGCAGAAATCTTTTTGGAAAAAATATGATTAGGCTATATATATATTTCTATATATATATAAATTGTATAAAAATTTTATATATATTTATTATATATATATATATATATAGTATATCATTACTGTGGTTTCTCTTTCACATTGATGTCATGATGTGGCCGTGATGAAGTTTTTCGTAACTTCTATGGTCGATATAATGACCTTGTCAGCAAATAAAATTCATCATTGAGTCAAATACTGACTGATGTTTTTCATACTACTTGTTAGTCCATTATTTATACACTGAATTGACGACGAACTTTTCCGTTATTTCCTGATCATGACAAGAGAGACATGGCGTATGTGAAATAATGCTTACTCCTAACACCTGATCTCATCTAATGTTTCGGAGGCCCGTGTTTGCTCTGCTTTTATTTTGTATTGTTTTATGGACTTTGAGATTGAATACTGTTCGTTATCTCCATATTCTTCCTTCCCTGATTTTGTTTAGCCCAACATTTCTTCCTGAATTGAAACATATCAAAATAAAACATTATTCAAGGTCAAAACTCCATAAAACAATACAAAAATGGAGCAGAGCAAACACGGACCTTTAAAGCATTTGAGGTAGGATCTAAAGCCATTGAGGAGTGAGCATCCCCTGCCGACTGGTCACGCATGCCGTGTGCTCCTGACTTTTAAGAAATACCCTTCAAATCTAATTAAGTTTCCCTCTCATTGAAAGAAGGATCAACTCTCAATTTCAACAAAGTCATAATCTTTTATTTACAGCCAGCTATGCATAGTTATAATGAGGAAGTGTGTCTCTTTCAAGATTTTGAATTCCATGTCTTCTCTCTCAGGGGTTCTGGTGTTAGAGCGGGGCTATAACGGTCATAAAGTGAAACTGCATTAATACCTTAAAAATCTCCTCTGCTTCTGGGTATTAAATAATTGACTTTTGGGTGCATAGAAATAATAAGAAAGGATGCCTCTTTCAAAATTGTGAATTTCATGGCCGTAGGGTCAGGGGTTCTTTTGATCTGCCTCAATCTTAGATTAAATTTTTGAACAGAAAATACATGTATAAAATCTGTTAGCATCCGAAATAGTGTATTGACTAGTCATTTTTTATTGAAACAGTAATCCAGCATATTTTCTTCTTTCCTTCATATCTGATTACCACAGAACAGCTGTAAATATATAAAATGAATAACTGAAGGATACATAACACAATTAACCAAAAAAAGTATGGATTGATATATTTTTTGACTGATCTTGAGAAGAATTGACATTACTAAATAAATAGATTCCAAACTATAATAATTGTAAGTTTCCTTTGCTATTTGCATGTGCGACATTTTTTTTTTTTTTTTTTTTTGCAGTTCTATATATCCAAATTTTGCGTTTACCGGTACTGTTAACATTGGGATACAATCTTGTAACTTTCCTCACTTTACCTGGTAACATTATTCAGGTAATGGTAAATTATTTGAATATAAATCTATAAGAAATAATGCTATATATAAAAAGTTTGTAAAATCATATATATATATATATATATATATATATATATATATATATATATATATATATATATATATATATATATATATATATATATATATATATATAATAAGTAATACCTCTCACTGGCAGACTATTTAAAAGAGACAGAGAACCCATGCCCAAATTCTGTGTCCAAAATATACATGAATAAGATTTAATAAATCATTTTTGGTGTGGCTTTGAACCCCACCCTGACTCCAAACTGGTCGGACCTACTTTTCAAGATTCACGGATTCGTCACTGATGAATTATGAAACAATTTTGAGTTTTATCAAAATGTGTGTAATATTCAACAGATCCTTTTTTGGATGATTGAAAAGCATTTTAAGAACAAATTTCAAGAAGTTACCTATTTAAGGCCTGCACCATTCCAAACAATCACCATATCGATCTTTACGACAACAATACCAGCTATTTGTATCTGTTACTCCTGCATTTGGCATTCCCATGACCCCAATTATAGCAACCAGAAAAAGTAATGCGATTATTCTGATTATGCTGTACAACTCCATCTAAGAAACAAAACAAAGTCCAAATAGTTTAATTTAACACATTATAAGGAAATCAATTAATTCACGAAAAGCAAATTGAATATAAAGAAAAAAAATATTTTAATTTTAGTTGTTACACGTCATTTGGTTGGATAAAAGATTTAGTTCATATCGTAAAACATATGTTGCCTACGTCATGCAGTATGAGTTACGTCAAAAACGCTTTCTCCGCTTGACGTTACTTTAAAACTATACACAATTTGAAGTCATTAGAGATGTTGAGATCTTAAACGTGTACGCGCACCTGTACGTGTGCCTGTATTTTGACGTACACGTACATGTTTTTGTACTTTGTCTGTTGAGATTTTAATGTAACAGTACATGTACACCGCAATCGTTGTCTTTGTTCTTACTATTTTAAAGTTTTGTGACGCAAGTTTGATTTGAATTAGTAAGCAAAACAAGATGAAAATAAGTGCTTGTGAAAGTAAACATCCTAAATAATAGTTAACGACTACAATTTCATACATGAATTGACTTGTGACATGGCCTAGCGAGTTTTTCTTTGAAGTCAAGCATACTGTACCTGCGATACAGAACACTTTTTGTGGATGTTTCTTATGCTAGTGAGCAGAAACTGTACTGAGGTAAATTAAGAATAAAATCTTACAACGCAAAGTTATTAGTGTCGAGTTCAAAAAAAAATTACAACAGAGGATGAGGGGCAGTTCACAACTTTGACATCCTCCCCAACCCCCAACCCCCCCCCCCCCAAAAAAAAAAACCCAAAACGGAAAATCGTATTTCGTGGGGGTAGATTAATTTATAATCAACCAATACACTACATGTATGTGCATGATATCGTTTCTAACTTGTTGATGAATTAAAAAGCGTAAGTATACAAGTTAACCAAAAATAATGTAGGAAAGCTAAAAAGAAAAAAACTCAAAGGAGGGTGAGATAGGAGCATCAGTAAATTCTGGATCTATTTTTGGTTATTCTACATTTTTATTAAAACATGAATGTGAAATCCCCTTACTTTTCTTTCATCTGTTTGTTTCAGTTTTGTATATGACGACCAATGAAGGACATTGTCAGACATTACTCTCAGAATACGATCTCCAAAGCATTTTTTTAATATTAACATGATTCTTATATATCAAAATGTTTTGCATTAAATCGTAGCTTATTTTTTTGATTGTCACCAAAAGCTGAATTAAAACTGAGAAATAAAAACCCTAAATAAAAATCTAAATTTTTGGAAAACAAATTATATAATGCATCTCATAATTCTAAAAATTTAAAAATGAAACCTTCACGTCCACCTTACTCGGTGTTTCGGTTGCGAGTGCTTAAAATGGGTTACTTATTCAACCTTCTGCAAAATCATCTTATGATTGAGAGATATGTACCCAAATCCGCATATAAATTAGTGAAGCCATTCGAGAGGTCATGCCACATGTCATTAAGAATACTTGCATCCTACTGTACAGAAAAACTTAGCAGTTAGGTAATCAAAGTATCGCTGAAGCCCCAAATTAATCAATTTTAGTGGAAAACCCGTATCTACAAGTTTTTTTTAATGTTTAGATTCCAGTTAATATTTATAGGGAAATCTTGATGTCACTAAAATTGATGACGGAAACACACAAATTGAAATATTTCAGCAATGCATTTTCTAATTGCAATTATTGGTGAAAAATCGTCTTTAAATTGTCTAAACTCAGGCAGTTTACGCTTTTTTACAAGTGTTTCGCGGTTTATAAAACGTAAAGTGACCCAAGTTATGTTATATCATATAACATAGGTTAATGTACCTTCCATCCTTAAACGTTTTGTCAAAATAGAGTAATCATTTGATCTGTTTTCAAAATGGTTTCGAACATATAACAATTAAGAGGGATTTGCGGTGTGGGGTAAAAAAATATTTTGCCAACTGACTGTGTTTCGCTACAATGTATTTGTTGCACGAGCATTTGTTTCGGTATTAAAGTCTTCAGACACAGCATACTAATGACTAATACATGTAACATGACTGAGTAATCACTATATTATGAGTAAAAAATATTACTGAAAGAAGTATCTGTGATTGGTTAAGAATTCAGAATTTGAATAGCTTTTAGAAGTTTTAAGAAAAAAAAATATTTAAAAGAAATTATAAACGGTTCATTCTAGATACGCTGTATTACTTTTCTACAAAACGTAAAAATACTGGGTACACGAGTAAAATATCGGAGTCTTTCTTATTTTAACAAAATTGACATTTCTATGGAATTCTTTTTCATTATATACATTCAATTACATCTGAGAAGCTACACATTTGAAATGAGAAGAAATATAAATTTACATGATTTCAAAATTTGACTACATACCTCAATTATTAGATATCCTTAATCATTGGATACTTCAGCATTATATGAATTCAATCAATACCTGCTCTTTATATACCATTTAATTTCATGATTATTTCAAAATTGTTTTGTTAAGTTGTTGATAAATTAATTATCATAATGTACTACTTTTTATCATTTAACCTTTCAAGTGGCATGCTTGATGTGATGTAAATGATGTAACAACAAAGGATGGTAACAGTCAAATGTTGAATTAAGTGCTCGATCTAAGTGACACCACGGCAGTTAGAAATTGTCGCAAACTGTTAGCAAATATATAAATTGACAATTTGTGATATAATTACATAATTAATTAATGTCAGTAAAGGTTTTTCCAATCCAAACATTAGATGTTCATTGAATTATTTTTTTTCCTTTTGATGGCATCCTTTTTTATTTAACCTTTAATGCTTTTCATTTCCATAATGCATGTGCTAGTTTACATGCACGTGTTTTGTTTCGAAGTGCATTTGAAATTCTATGAACAGAACCTTTTTCTTTTGTTTAAGGAATATGAATTAACTTAAATCTTTCTTCTTTTTTGTAATTTTATCCATTCCTTCTTTTAATTTCTGCACACGCTTTTATAAAACATTTACATCAAAAATTGGCATTTTTCATGGCCCTGAGTGCCGATTTTGCAGCCCTTCACCGGCAATGGTGACGTTATATCAAAATATATGTATGAAGGGATCAATCAATCAATCTTTCTTTCGATTTCTGCACACACTTTCAGAAAACATTTACATTAAAAATTCATTTATCGAATTCAATAAATTCTGTATGAAGGGTCCCACCTCATTGGAGGACATCCACATCACCCATTGAACCACACTGGATTGTTGGGCTTATTAATTGTCAAAAGAAAGACCTTCTTGTGTCACGGATCCCAAATTTCGTCTGATAAATCGAACGACTCAGCATATTTAAATGAGAAAAAACTATTTTTATTTGCAAAATATATTAGAATGAAATACAAAATTTATTATCTTATCATTTATTGTCATACAATCAAAACTTTACGCGTTATCCGAGCAGAAAATTGCGTGATTGTGGGATAAAGGTATTTGCGTTAAAATGTGTGACATTGGGGAAAGGGGTTAAACAAAAAGTTCCATTAAACGTTTACCATGATTCTAACATAAGTTTACATGTACTCCTAAAGGAGATTACTTTAGTTTTGGATCAGTATTAAACCTTGTTTAATATTTCAAGATTTAATTCAAAAGCTCATTATGTCAGGTTAATAATGGAGACGTTTAAGGCGAGGACAATCCCTCACTATGAAAAGAAAATCAAAATAATTCTTAATTCTTAAAGTACATTAAATTACATTTTTGTTTCTTCCGAAATCATATTATCAATGTAATCTTTTAGCCATTTGCTTCTACTTTTTTAATAACTTACTGATAAATAATGTATATTTTTTCATAGTCATATGTACGTAATCATATTAGTGCCACTTTGACATCTTCTTTATTTTTCATTTTCCACATTTTAAAATTTGCTCTTGAATCTGTCAATTTTACACTTTTGAATAAATGTTAAATTTCAAGATTAATGTATAAAATGTACAAATAAAAATGTAAAAATTGCAGATTAAAGTGTGAATTTAACAGTTCATGTAAGTGAAAACTTTACAGGTTCAAGTATAGAAAATAAAAATATGAATCAAAATGGCAAGAATACGCTTTTGTACATAGGTTTTAAAGTATGTAATAAGAAAAAAATCACACAATTCGAACTCTCTTCAGAGCTTCCTTTCAGACTCAAATCGTGAACCTCTGAGTCACGATTTTTATTTCTCCTTACGCCTCTTTAAATTTCAAAGCGTGAGACACAGTCTGGACTAAAATGTCTCGGACAAGTGTAAGTATCCATTTAACGGAGTCTAAATGTAAAAAGTGCATTTTTCGATTCATAGGCATTGTAGAGAAGAAACAATTGTTTTGGTTCATTTTAGATTTTCTTAGAAATAATATATTCACGATAACTGTGGTGGCGCGTGATTCACTTTTATTGTACGGATCGAATGCTGGTAGCGAAAACATTTAAGGAAGATTTTATATAAAAATTTGCTTGACGAATATTTAAATTTCAGTTCTACCTTTTTATGTTATTACACATTAGGTTATGGAGCTTGTTTGCTGTACTCGCTAATTTATTCAATAATCTCACAGTAACTGATTACTGTTTTTATTGAATAATATTTGAGACATCCCCGAATTATTTTTTTTTTCAAAATACGAATAACTTTTAAATTGCTTTTAATTTCTTTAATATAATTTTGAATTTATTAGATTTGAAGAAGTTTTATTTTTTTAGAAGTAACATTTAATTTTAAAAAATTTTGTATCTAATCGGTAATTTGTGTAGAGTAATAGTCTTTTATCGTTTCAAAATAATACCAACTTACCAGCAGTTTTTTTCTGTGCTTTTTTTTTAAAAACACAACTCTAAAATGATTAGAATCATTAAAAAAATAACTGAGACATTGAATGCATGCGCGAAAACAGGCAGTATTTTGTCCTGAATCAAATAAATGTACAGGTAGTTTTAATCATATTTGAATACGCAATAATAATGAAAAAAAAAACCTTTAGTTTCGGGAAATAATGAAAAATCGAGTCTTAAAATGTAGTCATACCTTGACAGTTAATTAAATCTGCGAAAAAGATATCTACATTTTTTTTAATTTAGGTAAAATGAAAAATTGAGACTCCATTCTTTCGCTGCTGAGATCGTGACAAGTTTAGTCATGAAAAAAGGAAAACTAAATTTATTGTATTTCAAAATGTATTAACTGACATGGTTTATCTTTGGTCTCATTTTTGTCGGCTGTTCATAATGTCATCAACCTAAAAAAGAAGTTTGTCATTTAGATATTTGTATATGATACATATATGTTATCTACATTTTATATGATATGTTATCTGTTGAAGTCTTATAATAGGTTTGACATTGCTAAAAAACTATGTGAAAGAGTAATTTTGCTGATGAACTTTGCATGTTTAATTACGTTACATGTAATGCATTTTTATTTGATATAAATGTCAGAAGAAATTGATTATTTTTTAAAATGTTAAAGATCAAATGTCCAAAATAAAATATTTGTTCCCCTAGCTGAAAAAGTGCAAATATTGTAGCACGGGAATGTAAAATCAAATAATCTCTTTCTCAGTCTTCTCATTGTATATCAAATTTACCTGAAGTTTCATTCCAAACATTCGACGCTATTTTTTCTACAACTGTTTGTTACAATACCACTCATCCTCTGGACCTGCAATCATGCTCTGTTCTGTTTGCACTTGTGCTACACTGAATTCTCCCATATTGGCGAAAACAAGACTCAAAACAAGTGCAGTTATAATCCTAAACAACTTCATCTGAATAATGAAAATATATTAAACGTTTTTATTGCAGGTATTATTTACAAGCAATGAAGAAAGAAATTGCAGGTAATATATTATATATAAATACGGGAAGTCTAACTAAAAAAAGATAAATAAAATAAGAAGGCAGGTTATAACAAACTACTTGAAAACACTTTCTATCTAAAAATGCCAACGAAAAAATATTGGGATGCAAAAAAATTGAAATAAGATAATCTGAATAGTATACTGTATTAAAGTTTAATTCTTTAATTTTCTTTACCTTGCTGTTTTCTCTCAGCCGTCCGATTTCAGGATATCTTTTTTAATAGTTAACGTAGTACATTTTGTATAAATATGCAATGTTTTTGATCGAGTACTTTCTTAACACATGCGAAAAATAATCAACTCGGTTTGACAATGAAAAATATGTGTTCTTGTTAAAACTTTTACCTGGAAGCAAATTAAAAGAGATTTTAAACGAAAATAATATTAATATTAGACAAAAAATTGAAGAAAAAAATTAAAGTAACATCTGTTTTAAAAATTGGCAGAAACAAATATGCAATTCGGTGCTATCTGAGTGTCATTTAATACAAATAATAGATTCCCTGTGTTAAGTTAATCATTCAGCATATTTCTTAACATCCATAATTATTATTCTGTTATTGTAGACGAGAATAAATAACCAAACTGACTTTCGAATGTAATAATTATATTGTTTTGAAATGATAATTCCTGGTTAAAGTTTAGAATTTATTCAAGTCCAAAAGTACAAAATCAAAATTCACTTTTTTAAACAAAAATTCCTAAAGTGAGAGTGAATTACAAATCAACTCAGGCACGTCTCATCTTTGACAACTCCTCCCACATTTCATAAATGAACCAATGAAACAAGTTGAAAGACAGTAGAAAAGTTTCGGGAAAAACTCAATGTCATTAATTTATAACACAGGAAACAATTTGAGTAAGCATAACAAATTCAAAGAAACACCAGTCTAAGATCTGACCATAAACCTGATAACAATTATGAGCTAATAGCATCGATACCGTGGGATGGAGAGAGAGATGTCAAGTTTGAGAAATTACAAACACGTGCAGCAGTGCTCTTTCTGAAGATCAAATAAAACAATTAATTTTCAATTACAAATTCCCAGTACATCAATTATAATATTTAAACAATACCTAAATCATAAGTACATCTAAGAAACAAACAAATTGTCTTTATCAAAAATATGAAATCATACGCATGTATATAACATCCGCCCCCTAAAAAATATTGGCATACAATTTTAAGCATTAAACGATAAAGACAATCATAAAATACGCACACAAAAGAAATGCTATACAAAACTAGAGGAGTTCTCGTTGCAAGCAACGAGTAGGTCTTCCGTTTGATTTTTGATACGATCATAAAACAACTTAAAATGAAAAAAAGTTTTCATATCAATTCCTCTAAATACGTTTAAGAGTGAAATCTGTAAATTTCAGACAACTTCCGGTCTTTATAATTCACTTCCGGTGTGACCGGAAGTACTAAAAATGACCCATAACTCCTCTCTGAGTGTGAAGGAATCATCCCTGATAATTTCGATGAAAAATGCTCATTTTTTGGACTACTTCCGGTTTTGAAAAAATAACTTCCGGTGGACATAATAATACTCGAGACACTCTATTTCTCTAAATAAGAAAC